CATAAAATATTTTTTCTTCTTACTTTTACTTTTTTATGAAAACTAACATTTCAAACAATGAATAAAAATAAAATATTTTAAATATTTATGAAAAATATACCAAATGAAAATAAAAATATTTTGATTTTAAAATATGTTGTTTTGATATCAGTATTTTTTTTTTATATTGGATCCTTGGACTTTAAAAAAGATTCTACCACTAAAATGATGTTTAGGAAACTTTTAAGTGTATGTTTTAAAAAAATTAATGTTATAATTTTTTTAAAACAATTAAATAATAAACATGAAATAACCATTCAAATCATGGGAAGTTGTGTAATATACATATGATTATAAATTCAAATTATATGTGTTATGGTTGTATTTTCTAAGATAATTTTTTTTGTAAAAAATGTTTGAAATATTAAAATAATGGAGCCTCCATTTGTTACTACCTTGTTCTTTTTATATGGGAGAAACTAAAAGTATAGTATAAAAATAATTATTTTTTATTAGTGTTGTTGTTATTTTGATCTTGTTAAGACAGTGAGATGTAAACACCTGTGTAAAAAAAAATTGATGGATTGATAATCATATATTGTAAAAATAATATATTAAGTGGATAATCTTATCCTTGATTTTGTTATGTGTGAAAATCTTTTGAACCTAGGATAATTATAATAAAAAATTAATTTTTTACCTAGTGGGTTGTAGATACATGTCACATAATTATTTTTTTTATAATAAATACTTTTAACTAAAGTTGTTCATTTTAATTCAATGAATAGTTGGTAGAGTAATGATCTTGTTAAATTTAGGTATAGGTTTTTTTATGTTACAATTTTAAGGATAGTTTAAGAAAATATGAATTTAGGATAAGTTATATATATATATATTTTATCTATCAAATATAAGACTGTGTATGTCACTCTAATCCTTCCATTATTAGATTGATCCTAGTAGTTTAGTAAATTTTATGTTATTATTTATTATTTTCTTTGCCTTTTCTTTTTATGTTTCTCATGAAATAATTTTGAAGTTTCATATTATATATATATATATTATTTTATAATATATATATATATATATATTATTTTATAATATATATATATATATATATATATTAATTAGTTGTAAACATATAAATCAATTAAAACTTATAAAATTAAAGCATAAATGACAAAAACAAATTGTTCTATCCGTTTAAAAAATATTTCTTCTTAACTTCTTTCCCCAAAACATTTATCTTTTTAGAGTTTGAAAGTTTATTTAATATTATTTTTTAATTATACTTCCATTTAATAAGTAATTTCTTCTTTAGTTTTTCTTGTGTGAAAACTTTCTTCTTTAGCTAATCATATTTTTTTTTCATAAAATAATTAAATGTAATTTTAGTCCATAAAATTTTGTTAAATTTTGCTTTTAGTTTTCCAATGATATTTTTTTTTATCAATTCTATTTCTTAAAATTTTTGTTTCATCTACATTTTTATTTTTGGAGTTAAAAGTTTTTGTCGATATAAAAAATCGATTAAATTGAAATAAAATTTGTTCAAAAATTAAAATACAATTTTTTTATCCATAGAAATAAAAACATAAAGACACAATAAGGATCAAACTTAAATTTTCTCATTTCTACTTCAATTCCTTTCCCTAATGATTAAACTAATTCTAGTAATCACTAAAAATAAAATTGATTGATATTTATATTTATTAAATATTTTTAATTTATACATTAATATTATTAAAATATGAAAGACGAATTTTAAATTTGACGATTAATAAATATTAATTATTAGTAAAATTTTATGTTCTTAAAATTAAAAAATTAAATATTTTTATTTTAAAAGATATAGATTAACCTTGCATATAAAAAGAATTAGAGAGAAAAAGAGTCGGATAATTAAGAGAAAGTGAGAAAATAAATTAATTGGTGGGACCGAGTATATTTTAATCATATATGATATATGGTATAAGACCTATGCAAATGCAACCTGTTGTGTGTCTCTTCCCGCACTCTCTTTCTTCCCAAATTCCTCACTCTGCATTTTCTTCACCCTTTTGCAATAATCATGGAGTTTCACTCTCTTCCCAAATTCCACCTTCTTCTCTTCTCTTCCATTCTCTTCCTTTCAGCTTTCCACGCTCAGGCTAAAATCAAAGTCAACTACTGCGGTACGTCGCCACTCTCTCTCTCTCTCTCTCTCTCTCTCTCTCTCTCTCTCTCTTTTTCCCTTTTCCTATTTTCATTTTGATCGTGGCAACTTAATCTCGATCAGTTCGATGTAAGACTAGAATTACTTCTCTATATTTATGGGGGCTAAAATGTTGCAGCTGTTATATCTATGTTCATGTTTGTTCGTTCAGATTTGGTTAGATTATGCTTATGGTTATGTTCCTGTCAATTTATTTTTGCTCTCGAAATGATCTTTGTAGATAAGAAGGTGAACTATGCTGTGAAGGTGTCTGGAGTTGAAATATCACCAAACCCTGTGGTCAGTGGCGAGCCGGCTACCTTTAAGATCTCAGCTACTTCTGGTGAAATCTCTTTGTCTTCTTCTTATTTGTCTTGTTTTGCTGTTTTTCAAATTTCCATCAAATAATCACTTCTAAAAGTTTTTTTTATGGGTTTGTTTCAAATTTTCAAGATAACCAGAACCTGAAAACAATCTAAAATCTGATTAAAACTAGAAGCTGTTTATTTTATAAAAAAAAAGTGATTTATATGATTGTAAGTAAAGGAAATAGATCCCCTGACTTTGGAGGGGTAAAGTTACATTTAAACCATTGGATTTGTAATAGTAGATCAGATTGTGACACGTGTACATTTAAGTTAAAATATATTTTGTACACGTGTCACAATCTGATCTATTATTACAAATCCAACGATTGAGATGTGTTAAGTTACCATAACTTTGATATCTCAAAGTCAGAGGATCCGGATCCAGCAAAGGGTCTGTTTAGTAAGTTTCTCCATAAACATTTCTAAGGGAAAAAAAATACCAAGGAAAATCAAAATAAATTTTTTCATAAACTAAAACTTATTCATGAGTTAAAAATATTTTAGAGAAGCCAATAAGAGAGAGCTTCTTCAAAAATAGTTTATGCATAAGTTAGTTTTAGCTTATAGAGTAACTTATTTCTTTTTTCCTTTCTAGTTTGATCTCTTAGAAAGCGTTTCGGAAGAAGTTTATCAAAACAGATCCAACAATAAATTAACTTCTGTTTTTGTTTTTAATCTCCAAAACATAATCTTTAAATTATTTTACAACAGAATCACTTTTTATTTATTTATTTATTTTTTTAATGTAGTACATAGGCCTTTGTATTTGCATGGCAGTATTCTGAAGTGGTGGTTACAGCCTTACAGGACATACTATCTCATTGCATTCAATATTAAGTTGACCACCAATATTTACATTGCATACTTACATTTCAATATTGTTTTTAACTGTGTAACATAATAATTCATATAAAGACCAGCTGTGCGTAAAAGATTCAGAGGGTTTACACAGCCTATTGTTTATATTTTGACTCACTTCATTTGTTCGTTATCAGTTTAATCATTTTAATGTCAGTATGTCACTTATCTATTTTGATGAATTTTAAGTGGAGCTTCTGCCTAACCTTCGTGCAGGTCAAGCTATTTATGGTGGAGAGGTGGTAATTGGAGTTTCATACGTTGGGGTGCCTGTTCATACTGAAAGAATTGATCTTTGTAAAGAAGTAGCCTGTCCTGTTTCTAATGGCAATTTCCTGATTTCTCACACCCAAACATTGCCTTCAATTACTCCACCGGTTAGTTTCATTTTGTCAAATAAACTCTCTTAGCAATGCTGAAAACATTATAAAAATAACATCCTATCATGAAATATAACTTGCTTTGACATCTTTTAGGGACCCCTTCAGCCTTTGCACTTAAATGTATACTAGCATCGTAAACTTACTTCATATAACTCTGATTTTGGGGCTAGATTTTCATTATTGGGCATTTGAAAATTTGCACTTGGTGTGAAATGCACCATCCCTTCTTTGGGGCTTGTAACTTGAAAAATTCTTGCAATATAAAGTTCCCTTTAATCAAGACTAATTATATTAATCCCGTTATAGTGTCAAATGTCTTGTGGTGTACCTTGCAGTAGATCCTAATATGTAATTCTTTTACACAAATGAATCTTGTCTTTGAAAAGTAGGTTTATTGTAGATCCAAACTAATCTTGCTCTCACATAGCTTATTTTCCTTTATATGGATATACTTAAAAAAGTTGTCTCTTTCTATTCTATCTCTTTGACATCATGTATAACATAAATGTGAAGTCACAAGTCATTTTACCACTTGTTAACGTGCAAATAGGTGATATGTTGGAATGCTATTTTTATCTATGATGGTCATAGAGATAGAGTTAACTGAACCTATGTAATAGATTGGATTTGAATCAACTTGTCATTCTGTCTGTCTAAAATAATTTAGCAATCTCTGTTGACTAAACAATATGTGCTATTTTGGGAATGACTAGAAAAGTATTTTGATAGTGGTTAGTTTGGGTACCTTTCTTGGGATTGTGTTTGGTGGGTATGGTATTGTGGTGTCATATTTGGCATTTAGTTGGTCAATTTTCCAGTTAAGCAGTTCATAGTTGAGTTGTATCCTTCGTATTGTTACTTTTTTCTTGGTTACTAAGTTGTTTGCCTTTGGTTGTTCACTTAACTATGATTTTGAGTTTACAACTTTACACAATGCTAGATGCCAAATCAAGTGGCAAGATACATCCAGATTTTCAGAACATGATAGATGAATAATATTATGTAGTTTTCAGAAGCATGTTCTTGGCCACTCTCTCTTCCACATGCATGCATCACTGACTCTTTAATAGTGCAAAATATGTTTTTAAGTGTTCAGCTTTGAAGGTCAATAGCTTGAAAAGGGTGTGGTTTCTCTCTTCTTCTCCTCCTTACATCTTTTTGAGCACTTCTCATTAATGATTCACTTTTTCAGTTTTTCCATAAATGAGGATCACATTATACAACAAGTCACTTAGTTGAGGTATCTTGGATCTTTTCATCTCCCACCTCCATCCTGCTATAGTAAGCTAGAAGGAGGTGGGAGATGGAAATGGAAAAGTTAGGGCAGGTGCTGGGATGTGTACTTTGCTAAATGCTAACTCTCGTGGTTTCAATATAACAATACCTATCTTGCTGAAGGGACTCTGGGATGAAATGTGCATTCCATGGTGTGACACTGTCTAAATCTTAGAAAACGATAGCTGAATGTATGTTCTTCACTAAGAAGAACGGGACTGCCAATGCCATCCTTGTGAATTGCGAGTGGTTGAGTACCCCTCCCCTCAAATGATATTCATATTTTGTTTGATGCTTGATCTCCCCTCAAATTATATTCATGTTTTGTTTGATGCTTGATCTGAGCATCCAAGGTAATACACCGATTGTCACATATTATACTGAAGTTTTAGTTGGGTGTTGGACACAGAATCACGGTGTAAAATTTTATTGATCTCTTTTTTCTTGGTTTAACCTTGTCTTAGATAACAAATTTCTGTTGAGGTGAATCTTTTCTGTTTTCATTGAACATTACCTTACTGGCTTCATTTCATTGTCTCCGTTTGTTTTTGCAGGGACCCTACTCTCTGAAGATGACACTGAAGAATGATCGTGACGAGGTTTTAACTTGCATCAAGTTTAATTTTAAAATCGTTCTTGGATCTTTTGTGTCTGATGTGTGAAGGGTGTAATTTTCATGACTGATCTGGGAAACTTGTTTGCCTTGCTTTCAAAGTGTTTTATTGTAATGTGTACTGTATACACCATTCATCTTTCAAGATTCATATCATGTAAGGCCAATATTCTCTAATGTCACAGTCATGTCCATGTCCATGACATGATGAGAGAGATGCTGTTATATAAGGCTCATGACTGATTCTTTCTATGAACTTAGGAGTATGACTTGCATAATGCAATCCCTACAATTGAATAGGAAAATATATGACTGTTGAAAAACTAATCTAACAGTGCTTGGTTTGAGAGGGAATGGGAGGGGACAGGAGAAGAAATTTTATTTATTTTAATTCCTGGTTAAAATATTTAGAGGGTGTGAGTGTCAGCAAACCAAGGAAACAGCAACAAGGTTAAAGGAGGTAAAAGAAAGCAAATAAACTTAGCAAAGGTGGTGAAAGCAAAGCATATGAGAAAATTAATTCCTCCTCTTTTATCTTCATATATGCTCTTAATTTTCGCTTTTCCATACATACAATTTTAGCGAAGGCAAATAAGAAGTAATTCTTTGTCAAGGCATATATGAAATGACTTAATTTTGTCTTCTTGGTTGATTAAGTGTAAATAACGGGCCTTTTATTAGTTCACATGAGAATTGTATTTTTGAATTCTGTAATTTGTTTTATTAGCTTAGTGAATACTGAATAGTGGTCAAAGAGCTGGAAAACTTCATCAATGACATCTCATATTTTGTAGCCCAAAAATTATATATATAAAGGACGGTTACACTGGTGTAACTTTTACTAAGTACTACACTGCTCAATAACTTTATATAAATGTGAATTTTGAAAATTTAATTGTTAGATTAAAAGTTCATATATCTTAGATCATATATATCAAATTTTATATTAATTTAAGATGATTTGATACTTCATTCTCATAAAACAAAATTGACGTAATATATATATTTTAAAATATATTAAAATATGAACACTTTAATTACTTTCAAGTTGTTCAATTTTAACAAAATTTGACATATATGATCTAAGAGATATGAATTTTCAATCTAATGGTTGGATTTTCAAAATTCACATTTAATATAAAGTTATTAAGCGGTGTAATACTTAGTAAAAGTTAGACTTCCAAGATATTTCACTTAGCTATTTATCGAACTTAATGAAACACTCATTCTATTTTGTTTGACGTTTTAAAATAAAAAATATTATAATTTGCTTATCATTTCATTGATTTCATAATATCAATGAAAATTAAATGTATTTTTTATATATTATATTGTTAATTATTTATCGTAAAGTAAGAAAAATATAAAAGAAGATAGATTATACAAGATATAATTATCAAGAGAGATAAATGATATATTAGTAAAATATATAATAATTTTTATGAAATTTAGAATATTAATTATATTTCTTTATACTTATGTCTCTATTATTTTTATTATTATTATTATCATGATCATTATCATTTTTATTATTATTGTTACATCATTTTTATTGTTATTATTATTTTTATTATTATCAATATTAATATTATCACTAATAAATATAACTATATAACTATGAAGATAATAAATGTGACCATGTGATATTAGTGTTGGTGAAAGTAGTGAATGACACATGGTGAGTAGCTGTTATTTATTTTTTATTATGTTATGCACAAAAGCAATTAATATATTGTGACACATGGTGAGTAGGTATTATTTATTTTTTATTATGTTATGCACAAAAGTAATTAATATATTGTGACAGATGGTGAGTAGGTGTTATTTATTTTTTATTATGTTATGCACAAAAGCAATTAATATATTGTTTTGAATGGTAAGAACAATGATATTTTTAAAAATTAAGAGGTCAAATTTAATATTAAAAAATAAAAAATTAATCGTATATATTTATTTTGCTGCTCAGTATATTTCAAGTCGAGCGTACAAAATTAATAATTGATATGCGCATAGTCCATTTGGTATATGAAGTATTTTTTTTTTTGTTATGTAGTCTTTAGAGTAATAAAATTATATAAGTAATATTGAAAATATTAAAATCATGTTATTAATTTTTTTAAATTAGCTTCTCAACATAAATGAATTATCTCAACTTCCATATAAATTAATGGATTTTCAATATTTTATAATTTTTTTTATATAATTACATTATTCTAGAAACTACTTAGGGCAATCAGTGGTGAGAATAATAGTAGAGACCATGATGGGACTAAGTTAATGATTTATTAACCCCAAGCGTGTGGTTCAGCGGTAGGGGTTGATCTACGTTCTACTTTGTGTATGCAGTCGCGTTAAATCTTGGTTCGAATTGTAGTGAGGAGATTAGTCACTGTTGTCGGGAGTGATACTCCATGGATGAAATTTTTTTTGATGATTTATTATTATTAATTTAAATTTTTTTTTTTTGTCTTTGATTATTGCTGAAATATATATTTTTTTCTATTCAAAGGACTGAATTGATAATTTTTCTTTATTTTATTTTAGTTTATAATTTTGATTATTACTATTTTGTTTAATTTTTTTGTATGTATTTTGCAAGCCAATGCTCCGGGTTCTTCTGATTAGGGTTTTCAGATTTTCACTTTACTCTCACTTCGTAATCCTCATCAGCTGCAAATGATTATTTCTTCCAATCAATAATCGAAGAACACAACATTCTAATTCCTCTTGCGTTTCGTTTCGCTAGATCGATAATCGAAAGTGTCCGGTGATTCGGTACGTCATAGAGCTCCGTTGAAATAGTTTTTTTTTCCATCTTTTCGTTTTTTAGTTTTCCCCTTAAATTGCACGCTCTGTTCACTTGCAGCAGTTTGCTATCTTTGATTCACTTAATTTTTTAGTTTGGTTTCTCTAACCCTAGGATTCTATAACTTGTATCCATTATACAGACTCATATGACATGATGGGGTTCGTTTGGATTTCAGTTCCCAAATTCTGTATGAAACTATGAGTTATTTTGTACTATCTGTTTCAATTTAGTATTGGAGTGTTTCATATGAAGCCAAAACATGGATACATGCATATGATCACGTACAATGGTAGTGTGAGTTATGTGGTTAAGTGATTGGTTTGGGTTTTTGTGGCTTTGGTGTCTCAGAGGTTGTGTTCACATAGGAGTTGTTTGTGACAATGAGACGGCAGGGGCACTATGGGGATCCATCTGCCAACACTTGTGTTGGTGGCCAGATGCATTATATGGCGGGTCAAAGGGCAGAGGCCAAGTCTGGTAATTTTGAAGGACGGCTAGAGGCCTTTACTCCAGAGAGAGAGAACCCATATGCGAATTCAAAGCCAGAGGGTCAGTGGAGATGGGAAATGGATGAATCAAAGATGTCCAATTCAATGACATCTCGTAGCATGTTTAATGAAGGCAAGTGTTATTTTGTTGCCTCTTCACTCTTGCTTATCCTTCTTCTATTAACTTAGCTATGCTCTGCATTTGGATTTACGAAAACAATTGTTATTTTTGAATATGTCATGCAATGGATACAAATATTGTGACGCTGTAAGTAGATGTTGTTTTTACAAGTTTTCGTGGATAAAAATAGTGACTAGTTAGCGAAAGGTATATTTTCATTTTTGCCAAGGTTAATATATTCAATATTGTTTTTCATGAAATTGAAAAAAATAGTGTCTCAAAGGGTTGGTTTTCACTAAAATGGTGGGATCTATGAGCAGACTTATGAGGAGCATAGTGTTTATGTATGATATACCTGCCTCTTTTTTATGTTATTTCTAGAATTAAAGCTCATGATGCTATCATGACAGAATAACTCAAACTGCATGTGTACAAAATTTTAAATAAAAAAATTCAAAAAATTAAAGTGGTGAAGATCAGAGAGAGAGGGAGAGTACAAAGAAGATAAGGAAATGAAAGGATTAAATATATTTTTGGTCCCTAAAAGTATGACATTTTTTTGTTTTGAACTTTGATTCCTATAAAAGTTTATTTGTTTTTGGTCCCATATTTAACAAAAAATGTGGTTTGAGTCTCTTATAAGGGACTAAAAGAAATGTATAAAATTTAAATAATTAGAGACTACTTTTGAAAAGAGTGAATATTCTCAAGGTCCAAAATATATTTAAGCCAACAATTTATGTGCTATTATTAGTTTATAACTATAAACCTATAACCTCATGTTTTGTTAATGTATAAAACGATGACAATGGTAAAGTAAGTCAAAGTCATAATTTTAAAAAGATTGGACAAAAGGTAAAAGTAGGACATGTTCTTTTGTTAAAAATAGAGATAGAGATAAAAAAACTTAATCCATTGGTTTCTGTCTTCTTGAAATATAAGTGCAAGCTGATGTGTTATAAGTATAGGGATGAACATTTAACCATTTACTTTTTGATTTTTTCTTTTTCAAGTGACTGATTCAAGGCATGTTATTTTACCCAATTTTACAAGATCATGCAATGTTAGTTTTGTGTTTTTTCTCCTAAAAGAAAAATTGTTGTTGTCATAATTAAGATAATGTTGCCCATTGTTGCATTGTAATATGTGTCTTTGTGCAGAGAGTTATAACTTCTCTACTAGAATGAGAAAACACTTAAAGTCCCTGTAGGCTATATAATTGTTAACCTTTCTACCATGTTGCAGCGTGAAGGTTTTTGTTTTTAAATTAGAAGTGAGGTAATAACCGAATACCTTTGATGGTCCTTTGTAAAACAGATTAATGATGATATCATGTGACTTAATTGGGAAGCATAATCCTTTCAAATGCCGTCCTATCCAATTTGTTGCTAAATGCATACTGTTATTCACATTCCTGACATCCTTTCTGGGTTATCTATTTATAGAATTTGCTTCTTTTTCAATGAACACAGTTAAAAACATTTCTTGATGTATAGGTAATGAATTTAATTCTTTCTGTCTGCTCTTAAGACATACGTTGGTTACATTGGTATTCATTGGTAACATTGGTATTCTAGTTCAGCAAACATGGTGGATTTTCAGCACCTATCATTACTTTGAATTGTTATCATGTTTGGCATTTTTATCATGGAAATAGTTTTCAAACTCCTAAACTTAGGGGAACCATTTCATGTTCTAGTGTAGGTCAAGGGGTTGATGCTTCAAAGTCCTATTTTCAAGGGCAGAGCCGGAACAACAATGATTCCAGATCTCAGGCTCACGAAGAAGATATGGATGTTGGATATGAAGGAAATCATATATCACAAACTTTTGAAGGTCTTGAGCAGAATTTTCGTGATGACATTATTAAACTCACTAAAGAACAGAATGACGCTGAAGATGCAGAATATGCCAGGCACAGAGAGGTTTGTGTTAAACATAAAACATGAACAGTATTAATTTGTTTCTGTGTTGAATAGCCCAAGTCTTCTACACACTTTGCAACTTTTTGTCTTTTTTCTTCTTTCTTTTTCTTAATAGATGAACTCGTAATCATGCAATCCTGTTGATGGACTGGATCCAGTGGTGCGGACCTCACTAGCAATGTTTGTTAAAGTTGCGATCTTTAATCGTAAGATCATGTGATTATACAATCTGCTACAATTTGTCCATGCTGGATCGTGCATATGATCAGACTGGTGTGGGATTGGGGTGTGATTGTGCGATCTTCGACCCCTTTTGATCTTGAAAGCTAATTTTTTTTTCCTCATAAAAAAAAATCTTCCATTCACAGCGTGACCCTATCTGCTCACTCCCTTGTGTGCAGCTCCTTTGCTATTTTCAAACCTTGGACATCAAAGCCGCACCACCATGGCCGGTCTGTGTTGCCCAACAGGGGCCTCCTTAGTGCCGCTGTTCTTTGTCACTGCAAAGTTGTGTTCCGCTCTCCACATTTGCAGTCAAAACTTCTGAGATAGGAGACAGTTGAGCTGATGGTGTCTTAAGGCACAAGGTCTTAGGGTTACAGTATAATTAGGGTTGCCAGTATCGGCCCAACAATTTTTTAAAGTGTTTTTCTCTTTTTTGTTTTAGTTTGTCAGTCCTCTATTTCGAGTCAAGTTTACTAGCTTTTTTTTTTATTTGTTTTTTAAATAAGCATTGCATGTAATATAATAAATAAACTACATAATAATAGTAATAAAAATATAACAAATTATATTAAGCATAACATATAATATGATAAATTAAGTAATAGTAATAAAAAAACTAAATAAAACATTACATATAATTATGAATTTTGTGTATATGTACTATATATAAGTATTTTAGGCAGGAATGTAGGATCCTAGGATCTGAGTTACAATCCTGAGTTATTAGTTTTTACCTCCCTCCTGATTCTAGGTAGGATATCGATTTTAACAACCATGCTCACTAGGTTTAATTCACCTCTCGGGCATCAACACACTGAAAACGGGACAAATAATGAGCCATCTGGAGTCTAGACTGCTTCATGGGCATTTAGATTTTATAAAATAATGATCATAATTATAAAATCAATTAGATTTTTTTCTCCAATAGTTTACCAGACTTCCAAATCTGAAGCTTATTCCTAATATTCATATTAAAAACTTGACCTCTCATTTGTGACTTGTCTTAGCTATGACTTGCATGCATGTGGTTTGGACAATCTTATTTTGTAAGAGGGTGGTGTAAGACCCGTTTTATTATACTCTATAGTCAATAATGTCTATAGAAATTAAGTCAGTCTCCCTTATTTTTAGCTAAAAAGGCATGGCCCAAACATAAAGATGCCAAAAAGAAGAAATGCATGTATGCTCAATCCTCTAGTCTTGTTTCCTCTGTTAGAGAATAGCTGCACTTGCTTCTCTTTGTAAGATTTGGGTTCCACATTGGTATAAAACTTTATGGGATTTGTTGAACAGTTTGTTTTAGAAGACGTTACAGATACTTCTGAAGCTGTAAAACTTTTTATAGCTTTTATAGAAAGTCAGAAGCTGTAAAACATTAAGGTATCAGATACAGATCCTCTTTTAGAATTATCCATTTGCATGGATTGAACTGCTTCTGAGGAATGTAAGCTTATCAATGGGTTGTTAAGTTGTGTGTGTTTGGATAATTTTTTCCCTAAGTACTTATAGGAGAAGCAAATAAGAAGAAAAAAAATGAAATAAGCTTTTTTCCTTGTATTTTAAATAATCTACGCCACTATGTTTTGAAACTGGATATATGCAGCACACCTATTCATGTTGAATTCTGTGGATTCTTTTATTTGTATGAACTCAAACTATTTCTCAATTCCATTGATCTTTTAACTATGTCCCACATATTTTTCAGAAAATAAATGCAATCAATGCTCAGTACGAAGAAAAACTGGCAGCACTCCGAGCTCAGCATAGCAGCCGCAGAGCTGAATTTTTTCAAAGGGAGTCACATGCTAGGCAACAGCAGTACCAGCAAATCATAAGGGATCCTTACCCCAGCAGTGGAGTGGCACCCCGGGATCCTCATGCACCCCGAGACCCTCATGGTTACAACAATGTGAACGCTTCAGGTGCAGGTGCAGGTGAAGTGCAACGAGGCTTTTCTGCCGATCACTTTGATCCTTACAGAGAGAGAGCTCGATTTCTTGGGAGTGGTAGAGATCAAGGATTTGAACCTAGAGGTCCATATCCTGGGGGCCGTGTCTATGACACTGGTTCACGCTTCTACAATTGAGTTTTGACCCGAAGGTTTATCTTATTGTGTTTCTACTGCAGGTGAAATTGCTTATATTGTCATAATGTATGTTTTATCATCTTGCCACCCCTTGTAACCCTGTTTGTGGAAATTAACGTTTCTTAGCAGCTGTTGTTTAAGATCAACAATGGAGGTGCACACTTTACATTGGTATGGTGCATTTAGATGTAGGATTTCTAGGATATTTGTTGTTTGTGTTTATGAAAACCAATAACATTCAAATCTATGAAATACAATACCATTGAATTCAACTGCATAAGAAGAGGGGTGGCATTGCTTGGATAACTTGTTGCAAGCATCCATACCAACCACGGAAGAAGCATAGCAAAGCACGAAACCTTATGCGCCTGCTGCTGCTCTTCGGTGCTTCTGATTCCGACCAAGGAGTAAAAAACGTTAAATTAAACAAACTAAGAAAAGAAAAATACAGCAGTTTGGCTTGTTTGCTTCTAAAATTGAAACTAAGCACAGAGTACATAATTGCCTCTAAAAGCTCGATGTATAATAGGGTAAAGTTAGTGATAAATTTCATTGCCGAGAGTTTACGAAGAAAATGCTGTGGGTTTTCCTGTTGTCAATGAATGATAAATCGTAGGATGTTTGTAGGTTCATAAATTATGGCTGGCAATCAACCTGCAAGGAAAATTGCGCAACAATAGATTTTAAGTTTTTAATTATTGGCATTGTGCCAAGTTGATGGGTCACACAACGAGGAGGGAATAAGGGAACTCTACAGAATTAAACTCTTGATCGTAGTCCGTAGATAAAGTAGAGAATAAGATAGGAAAGTAATCAAGAAAACAAGAGCGCAATTTTCAGACAATCTATCTTTGAGCAGGAGACAAAATGTGTAACAAAGTTACTATGGTATTTGTTGGCTAACACACTCTTAAATAGGCATGACATTCTAACCTGATCTTGTGGATATCGTTCCAAGAATCGAAATGGTCCCAATTTGGATAGGGAAAATCCGTTTTAATCGGGTTCGGATTTTTTATGATTGGCAAAATTGTTCATGACTCGTTTAGGAATAACCAATTCGTGCGGCGGTTGAAATATCACAGGAGGAACTATAACGAATCCGGGTATTTGGAGTTACGAAGGGGTGGCCAGAGCACATATTGTGTTTACGGGTATGTGTTTTTTAGCGGCTATTTGGCATTAAGTTTATCGGGATCTCGAAATCTTTTGTAATGAACGTACTGGAAAACCTTCGTTGAATTTGCCCAAAATTTTTTGATGTTAATACCTGTTTCACCCTCGTACCTACCTCCACCCTCGTCCCGCTTAATAATATAATTACAAAATTATCCTTACATATTATTTAAACTATTCGAGAGGCATTTTGGCAAAAAAGAATATAAAAATTTGTATTATCTTACTTTTTTTTAAAAAAAAATTCTTCATATTTATTAGAAATAAAAAAAAAACATCTTGGAGCGAGAGTGGGGTGAGAAAACCCAAATCCTGTTGGGGGCGAGAATGGGTACCAAATTTTATCTCCAACGAGTATCGGAGGCAGGAACGGTTTAAATCTATGGGGGCAGGGGCGGGGAACATAAAATCTGCCCCATCCTGTTACCATGTCTATTGCTAAGATTAACTCGCTACGCTTAGTAAAACAAACGAAATTATAATTTTTTTATTCTAAATTTTAGTTTAATTTATTTTGATCATTTTAGAATGGTCATTATTCTTTATCTTTTAAATATGGGTTAATTTTATCATTTGAAAGTGGTCATTTCATGATTTTATATTATTTTTTTTTACTAATTTTAGGCATACAATGTCTCATTAGATTTATGTACATGAAAATTATAAAATTTAATTGATTTTTAACCCAAAATGTTACAAATAATACAAAATAGCATCAAAAGTAAATTCTACAAATAATCTGATATTAGATTTCTTTTTTTATTGTTGGACATATTTTCATGTCATTTTCAATATGTTTACTCCTTTTTGATATAAATATCAATTGAGTTTAATAATATAATTTAATCGTAAAAAAAAACCATGCAAGATATTTAATTGTAGTGATTTTTATTAACATCGACACTATTAACTCTAAAGACATATTTGATAAAATGGAAGTATTTTTATGCACAAGTATTATATCATATTCCTTACAATCATGAATCTAAATAATTATAATTCTTAAAAATGAATAAAATATGTTTGATATAATCATAAACATTATTGATTTTGAGAATATTTATTTTTAAGAATATAATAATTTTACAGTTTAGTTTTAGTAGAACTTCCATAGAAATTATAATTATTTATCACATTAAGTGAGTTAATGAAGATAAGGTGATATTTTTACTGCAAGAAAACTTTTTTTCAACTTGAAAATTTAGGTTTTCACCTCTCCGTTGCAACGATTTGTGGGAAAGCAGAGGTAAAAAATATTTTCCGGTTTCTTGTGAATATTATTTTCTAAATAATAAATCAAATATGATAAACAACGTTATCAACTTCAAATTCTTGAAAAATTTTAAACTCTACCAAACGCCACTTAAAGAACTAATCTCTCTCTCTCTATATATATATATATGTCATTTTCAGAAGAAAAGAAATCTGTCATAATTTTATATTAAGCAACATTTTGTTTCTGTATTTAACCTTTTTTTTTTAATGCCACTGAGAATTGCTCATTTTTAAAATTTTAAAATTTGAAGCTATAAAAAATATAATTATAAATATACCTTGTCACTCATTTAAATATTTTTTGCTTCCAATTGTAATGCATTTAAGCTTTAGCATGAATTAATTAGTGAAAGAATCTTTCATTTTTTCCTTTGCTTCAAAAAAAAGAATCTTTCATTTTTCCTTTTCTGATCGCATAAACAATACATCAGCCTGCACTTTCTATCGGTAAACATTGCTGTGTATGTATTTCTTATGATTATTTTTGTTATTCTGTCATTTGCTCCATATATTTGAGTCATACCCTTGGAAACTTGTCTATTATTTTTTTAATACTCTCTCACATTATGGTTTTTTCGAATAAATTTTTCCAGAAGTATTTCTAGAAAGAAAGATTAAGGGAGAAAAATAAAATAATTTTTTTCATAAATTAAAATTAATTTATATATAAGTTAATTTGTAAAAATTCTTTTATATAATTATAAAAAAAATTATAATTACCTTATGTATTAACTAGCTTTAATTTATAAAGAAATTTATTTCATCATTTTTTCTTATTTATTTCTCCGAAGGGTATTCTTTTTTTGGAGAAGTTTATATGTATTATATGCATATGTCTTACTATTTTTCTAAGGTGCAATCTTTGGTATAATGTTTGGCATGGTCTTTTGGCTGTAAAAAGTGTTGGGATAAAATTTCTTAAGCCAATTAGAAATTTTCTATTAATAAAAAATTAAGAACCGTTGTTTCAGATTACAGAGTTAATGATAATAACACGTACCTGTATCCATTGACGGTGATCAAAAGGTTGCAGCGGAATAGTCTTTTGGTGCAATGATCTTCCTCAGCCAAATCACTGGATTCCTTGATGGGACTTGATGTTACTCTTCTGATGGGGAGACAGAGAGACGTGTGTTTCTGATTTGGCATATTGGGGACCATGACCATCTTTATGATTTTAAACCTATTAGGGTTCCCATTAACCCCTAACGGGCCAAATCTGGTTTCCACTTATTTGGGCCCATATTAGTTTTTCCTGTTGGCAGTCTAAAGGCTCACTAAAATTAGATCACTTTTATTGAGCCCAACCAAATGTAAATAACTAATATAAATACTACAAATAATATATGTAGCCCACAATAATTATTAGAAATAAAATTTCTAACAATCTCCCACTTGGGCTTCATATTCATTTAAGTATTTATATCACAAAATTCTTTAGGCGCGCAACCGTATGCTATTTACTTTTAGACTCCCCTTAAACAATCTGGTCCATCTCATACAACAACAGGGAACCACTGCAGCTTTCATCATTATCTAATGTGACTAAACCACAATGATCACCACAATTGTATGCACTCAATGACATAGATCAAATATGGATAAGTGGCATGGAAATTACATGCAACGTGATCTTAGTCATGTCTATTTCCAACTGGTCCAAACTTTATTCTTTATAGAGATCCATTCAAAACGCAACATATATATATTGCACAAAATAAGCTCAGAATAGAATTATGAACATCAACTTTATTTATGTAGAAAATCCAAATAATACAAACATTTGGAAAAATTAAAAATAAAGAAGACACAAAACATAAATGAGACTCCCACTAAACTAAGGTACTATAAGGAATTACACCCATATGAGCAGTGTGCTCATGAAAGACTTTAGGCACCAAACCCTTAGTAAGTGGATCAGCTAGCATAAAATTAGTCCCTATATGTTCTATAGAAATTTGCTTATTCTGAACTCTTTCCTTAACAACCAGAAACTTTATATCAATGAATTTTGACTTGGTTGTACTCCTATTGTTATTGGAATAAAGAACTGCAGAGTTATTATCACAATAGATTTTCAATGGCCTTTCAATGCCATTAACCACACGTAAATTAGTGATAAAATTTCGCAGCCATATCCCATGGTTGGATGCCTCAAAACAAGCAATGAACTCCGCAGCCATGGTTGATGAAGCTATAATAGTCTGTTTAACAGACTTCCAAGAGATAGCTCCTCCAGCCAACATAAAGATGTATCCAGATGTGGAGCGTTTACTGTCTTGACATCCGGCAAAATCAGAGTCTGAGTATCCAATGATCTCTAAACTGTCAGACTTCTGATAAGTGAGCATATATCCTTTTGTTCTCTTCAAATAGCGCATTACACGCTTTACTGCTTTCCAATGCTGCATCCCAGGATTACTTAAGTATCTGCCCAAAACTCCCACTATAAATGCAATATCAGGACGAGTACAAACTTGAGCATACATTAGACTTCCCACAGCTGAAGCATAGGGAATCTTTTGCATCTCATTTCTTTCAAGGTCATTATTAGGGCATTGTTTGAGGCTAAATTTGTCTCCCTTGGCTATAGGGGTATCTCCTGGTTTACTATCTTTCATGCCGAATCTATCTAAAACTTTATCGATATAGTTCTCTTGTGATAACCTTATGATACCATGAGAACGATCTCTTAGTATCTTAATACCTAATACAAAAGAGGCTTCACCAAGATCTTTCATTTCAAAATTCTTTGTTAAAAATCTCTTGGTTTCGTGCAATAAGCCTATATCGCTGCTGGCAAGCAGTATATCATCGACATATA